GTTTTTTGAGACAGGGTCTCACTCTGTTACCCAGGCTACAGTGCAGTGGTGTCAGCCTAGCTCACAGCAACCTCCAACTCCTGGGCTCAGGCCATCCTCCTGCCTCAGCCTCCTGAGTAGCTGGGACTACAGGCATGCGCCACCACCACGCCTGGCTGATTTTTCTATTTTTAGTAGAGATGGAGTCTTGCTCTTACTCAGGCTGGTCTCGAACTCCTGACCTCAGGCAATCCTCCTGCCTTGGCCTCCCAGAGTGCTGGGATTACAGGTATGAGCCTGCGCCTGGCCTCCGACGGACTTTTGACAACAGCACAGAAGCAGTTTAGCGGAGGAAGGGCAGCCTTTTCATCAGATGACGCTGGAGCCGTTGGATACCCATAGGCAAGACTACAGAAACGGACGCGGTGTGAACCTCACTTCTAGTACAGAAACTGATTTATAAGGGAGCACAGATTTACGTGTAAAATGTAAAACTATGAAACTTTTAGATGAAAACATAGGCGAAGATTTTTGGGACCTAGGACTAGGCAAAGAATTCTTGGATTTGACACTACAAGGATAATGAGTAAAACACGATTGAGTTGCTCTTGATGGAAAGTCCTACTTTTGCTCTGTGCGGGACCCGCCGAGAGCGTGACGAGCAGGGGGAGAGCGGTACAAGCAGGGGGAGATGTTTGCCGACCACATATCCAAGGACTAGTATGTAGAATAAAGAACCCTCGAAGCTCAACAGTAAACAAATGACATCCAGCTAGAGAGGGGGCAAAGTGTATGACCAGACATTTCACCAGGAGGGTGCTTGGCTGGCAAAGGGGAGGAAAAGACGCCGCGCGCTGTCAGCCATCGGGGGTGCGGATGAACCCGCAGCGAGACGCCGCCGCACTCCGGTCGGAAAGGCTGGGACACAAACAACGGTAACGCCAAGTGCTGGCGAGGGCGTGGGGAGGCTGGGTCTCACACGGGAGCGGAAGATAGCGCAGCTGCCCTGGAAAACAGCGTGACGGCGTCTCACAGAGCTGGACCTGCGCTGACCACATGGCCCGGCAGTTGCGTTCTCGGGCATTTGTCTCGGAATTGAAAACTTACGTTCACGCAAAGCCTGTGCGCTAATGTTAATGGCGGCTCTATTTGTAGCAGCCAAACCTGTGAGCACCCAGTGCCCGTCGGTGGGTGGGTGGTTCAGGAGCCGGTGCACCCGGCCACGAAACTGCTCAGCCGCAGACAGGACGCGCTGCCGACAGATGCCGCCGCTTGGATGGGTCTCGGGGAACTTTTGCACTCAAGTGCAAAGGTCGGGTACTGTGGCTCCATGGATAGGACGTTCTCGAGATGTCACAGCTGTGGAGTCGGAGCTCATGCGTGGCTCTGGTGGAGGGCAGGGGAGGTCGAGCGGGTGCCACTGCAGAGGAGAACTCCAGCGCTCCTCGGGGTGGAGCAGTTCTACAATGGGGGAGGCGGGTTCAGGGAGCCATGCACGGGCCACAGCGCACAGAGCCATGCACACACGTGTGCGCACACACACATACACACAGAGACACTGGTGAGCTCTGCCAGGCCTTGTTCGCACTGTTGTTCCAATGCCCCCCTCCGGCATTTGCTGTGGTACCGCAGGCTGCAGAGGATGTCACCGTGGGGCAGGCTGGGTAAGGGGCTCCCAGGACTTTATGTATTATTTTTATAACTTCTGTGAATCCATAATTATTTTAAAACATAGGAATCAGGGTTCAACTAGAGAAGCAGAACCAGTTGGAGGACGTGTGGGCGCATGTGCGCGTGTGAGAGAGTACAAGGGACCGGCTCACATGGTCGTGGGGCCATGGAGCATGCGTGACTTGTGTAGGGCAGGTGGTCGGGGAGGGAGATGGCTGCAGGCTGGCGCGGTGGGCAGGAGCCGTGTGGAGGCTCCGAGGCGGGGGAAGCACAGGACTTCCGAAGGGCTCACCTGAGCAGCTGCCTCTTGGTGGATTTTCCGTCTCCCCGGCAGCCTCCCGCTGAGTGATCCCGCGGATGACAGCTCAGCCCAGGCCAGCACACACCTCAGCGCGTCCCACAAAGTAAATGGTGGGGACGAGTGGCCTGGACAGGCACACCCGTGACACGGACAGAAAATACCAGCATGTTCAGAAAATTCAAATAACACGGGAAGGCAAAAGCTGCTTCATAACTTCCCGTGCAAATTTCTTGGAAGTCCTTCCAGACACCCTTTCACACATGTGCACACACGTCTACACTCTTTGTACTTTTTGCCACTTAATATTGCACTGTTTCTACACTGGCCCTTAGCTAGCGACTTCATTCTTAATGCGATAGACAAGTTCCATAATTTTTGAAAAACTAAATATTCTTTTGTACAATTGGAGGTTGAAATAAATTGCATTAGTTGCAAGAGTGTTATTTCTGGCATATTGTAATATTGATATTTAAAAGCAACACTGATTTATTCTCGGAAATGTTTCCCTTGTAATATAAACACCACCGTCCGTTTCGAACACCTCGCGAATCAGCTTTTGGCCGTCACGTTGCACGTCATTCCTTTGCTTTTCGAACCCTCATTTCATTTCCCTCTCAGAACTGTATCCTGTTCACCGGGCTGTCCTACTCCCTTGCAGCAGAAATAGAGATATAAATTGAACCTGAAAAAATTCATATCCTATAGCCACAAGGCCCTAGGGTTAAAAAAGTTAATAGTACGCAGTTGCAGAAAACAACATAAATGTATTACCTACTTATAGCTAATTTTGAGTAATAAAACATTGTGAATATACTTTTTTTTTTTGGAGACATGGTCTCACTCTGTTGCCAACGCTGGTGTGCAGTGGTGCAACCATAGCTCACTGCAGCCTCCAACTCCTGGGCTCAAGCAATCCTCCTGCCTCAGCCTCCCCAGTGCTGGGATGATAAGCATGATCCACCGTCCCTGGCCAGGAATGCGTTTTTGAGGAGATGGGGCTTTTGTCTTACTTAATTCCTGAATCCCTGGATGGTTACGATTTATTGCGCAGGAGGCAGGATTCGGCATTGGTTCTATTTCTGGGTTTGGTTTCAATAGTTCTAAACACTGAGAAACTCTGTTCACATCAATAAATACATGAGAGAGGAAGAAGCTCTTTGTTTCCTCAAGTTATGTGGCAAAAACCTTAGTGGTCTATCATCAAAAATTATTTTTGATGATCTGTGAGCTAAAATTTCAGCTAGATCCTTCCATGAGTTTTGTCGAAGGCAAAGGACTGTGAACCCGCCGGTTTGCCAGGGTTCCTCGCCAGTCATGAGGCTCTGCCGTGCCTGGGCCAGAGATTGGGGCCCTGAGTCTGTGCTCAGGCCTCGGGTCTCGTCCTGTGTGGACGGTGAACTTCAGGGTAGCCGGAGTCAGAGGTAACTTTTTTTCTTTTAAGTGGGAAAAAGGCTTTGTGAAAGGGACCAAACACATGGAGGTACCCTCTCGAGGAGGACTGCTTTGGGAAATGGAACCTTCCGGAATTGAGGATCTGGACACCGGCCCCTGCACAGGCTTGAGGACCCCTGGGTGCATTATGTCAGCCAGAACCTGACACCTCAGAGCATGACTTCCGTCATCTTAGCAGGAATCTCCGAGGAACAAAGGCATACTTAGTCCAGGGACCTTGCCAGACGGTGGCACGAGTGAACTTTGCTCTATTAAAGTTTCCTCTCAGACTTTTAATTTGCTAATGGCCACTGGGAATGGACACCAGAGAACTACTGTCCACCCAGCAGTGTTGCCCTCATTTAGTTGCTCAGAGGGAGGGAGAGTTGTGCGTGTGGGATCCCGGGGACGCTGCGTTCCGTGGAACACGCACTGGGAAGATACCAGATGCACACAAACCGTTGTCTCCTCTTGCACGTGCGAGGAGCACGAGATTGTCCCTGCCTGCAGGCGACTGCAGTAACCAGGTCAGGTCACCGGGGCTACCTGTAGGTAATTGGTCAGGGCCTGGTGGGTCACTTTACGTGGCACCAAAACCAGTAGAATAATTGGAAAAACAGCACCTTCGTGTGAAATGCCGTAGATCATGCCTTAGCTTAGAAGCACCTGTCCCACACTGAGTGTGCAGTTCCAGCCAGTGGCCCTGACACGAGGCCGGATTTCACGTGTGCAAATCGAAGACGGGGTCTTCCCTGAGTTGGCTTTGCAAAGGGAAATCCGAGAGGGGTATTTCACTCTCAGGTAACAGCATTTTGTGTTTCAGGTGCCGGTTCTTTCTGCTCCCAGCCCTCCCCAGGAAGGCACACTGAAGAGATTCCTTGTGACCACAAAGTGCTAAGTGTTAAAAAATTAATGCTTGAAAAATATGAAGAGTAAATGCCTTGAGACTAAGCTGCGTTAGCTACTGCCCATGTAGACACACTAGCGCTTCTTCTGGAATGTGCCGGCTCTCACGGTTTCTGGGCTACAGCCTGTTCCTCTGTAGAATCATTTTTCTTCCAAGCAAAGCCCGGAGGCCCCGCGGCCGCAGCTGACCCACTTTTCCCGCAGAGCCTGTAGGGAGGACGTGCTGTGTCCTTCTGTTCCCGGCCCAGTGTCGCGTTCGCCCCGTCCTTCCAGAGTGCTGGAATGACGTCAGTCCCGCACAGTCCTGAGAGCGCAGGTCTGTCACGCAGGGGTCAGTTGGGAGGGGACGAGCAGGAACGTCAAGCTGGTTTTCACGCAGACGCGCTGCCTCGGAAGCCTCAACCGTGCGCGCCGACAACTTGCGATTTCCCATCTGCTCTGAATCGCGTGTTCAGATACCCTTAGCGCAGCCTTCCCGTGTTGCCCGGTCGTGCAGACCGAGAACAGCAGCTGCTGGGAAAGTTAAACTCCATTAACAGGTCCCCATCTCCAGGTGTCCTTACCTAGCACAAAGTCAGCGGTTTCTGCAGGGAGCCACTTCCCTCCCTTAGTGCAGGTCGCTGGGACTGACTGTATTGAATTGCTCGAATGCACTCAATGAATGTTGTTGTTTTAAGGTCTTCTTTTTCTTTGTGATTCTTTTGTTCTGTAGCGTCGTCCCCCAGACTACAGTAATACTCAACAATGATCGGCAGAACGCCATTGTAGCCAAGATGGACGACCCCTTGAGCAACAGGGCACCGGATTCCCTGGAAAATGTCATTAGCAAGTCAGTAGCACGGCACCAACCTCACCTTCCCCCCCACTGTGATGAGTCCCGCGGGAATAAGTCAGTGTCCCCAACCAGGGCACAGTCGAGCACGCGGGTCATCGCTGGGCACGGGGTTGAGCCTGGCAGGCACCGCCCCAGTTCTTGGAGGGCGGGGAGGGCCCGCACAGTGCTCCACGCGGGCTGGGCGGCGTGAGCGCCTGTGCCCTGCTGCGTGGCTGCACAGAGGGAGTGGATCGGGGGGCTCGGGGGGCTCTGTGTCTCGTGCTGGTGGGGTCGTGGAGGGAGATGGCGTTGTCTCTTCACAGCAGTCCGTGAAGGTGTTTGTCCTTCAGCGTAGCCCGCTGGTTACTCGTGTCTGTCTGTCTATGCAGAAGCACGTCAGGTCAACGGACACCCCGTCTGCGTCTGCTGCAGGAAGTGGGTGTGCCGAGTTTATGGCTTTTTTACTCCTTTTCTTTTGAGACACTTTGAATGGCACCTTGGTTGGAAATGGGAGTGGCCAGCAGACACGGCCACCACCCCGCGCGCAGGGGAAGGCATGCAGGTGGCCCCTGCCCGGCGGTCGGGTCTGCTCTCCCAGTGACACGCCCCGTGTGGGCGTCGTTGCTTTTTGTTTCCTGTCTGTGTCTTCACGAAGTTCTGTTTTGCTTTTTTCTCCATCTCTTCTGCGGATTGTTCCTCCTCCAGCTCTGTGCTGCTTCTCTGTCGTCTTAGCTCAGGTTCCTGGGCCGGCAGCGGTGGGTGCAGGGCCCGTCTGCGGGATGAAGGTGGCAGGTGGGTGTGGGCGGCCGAGGCCCAGCTGCCTGGTGAGAAGGCGCGGGGTCTGCCCGTCCTGCCTCTCCCGCCTCTCCCGTGGCCCACACCGAGCTCAGCGGCAGAGCTGAGTGTCAAGAGCAAGGGCAGCATGGACAGTTCTCCGTAGAGCCAAGTCCACGGAGCGCCAAGTGCAGCTCCCTCCCCTGGGCGTGGCCAGTGTTGCGAACACCTTTTTTTGACTTTGCACAAAGAGAAGTTAAGCCTGTTCCCCTTTCTCGGTGTGCAGCAGTCCACGGTAAGGGACGTTGACAGGGTCATTAAAAAGACAAGTGACAAGTCTCCAGATGTGTTTTTCGAGCACTTTCTGGGGCTGACCTTGTGGTCCTGTTCACTGGCAGTGTTTTGTTGTTCTCATCAGGGTCCGTATGATGAGGGTAGCTCCCAGGGGATCCTTGGCTGTCTTTTTAAGGCCACTTGAGTGTTTTTTGTCCCTGCGAGTGATTGGGAGTGGCGGTTGCCTTTCTGGAGGCGGAGCCATCGTCAGGGAGCCCGACAGCGTGGATTGGACTGGCCTGGGCTCGGGGCACTTGCTCCAGTTCAGTCTTTGCTTGAACGCGGCCGTAACAGTGGCTCTCTGGCGAGTGTCAGCCTTGGTAGGGTGACCTCTGAAATCAGAGCAGCACTCTGGGCCTGAGTCACAGCGAGTTACGATTTTACTCCTTTTATGATGGAAATATTTTCTTTAAATGTTTAAGTTTTATATAGTTCCTTCCACCCCCACACTGTTTTCTCCCGTTAAGTGGCTAATGACCTCCGTAGAAAGCGCTGTCGGGAAGGCCGATTCACTGGCCCGTGCTAGTCAGAGTCCGCGGTGGGTCAAGGAGAGAGCAGCTTCCCCGAGAGGCCACCCCGACCCTGCCCGTCTGTTGTGTCGCGCTCACGACATGGGGCTGGTGTGTTTCTCTCCTGTCCAGCGCTGTTCCCGGGCGGCGGCAGAACACCATTGTGGTGAAGGTGCCGGGCCAAGAAGACAGCCACCACGAGGACGGGGAGAGCGGCTCCGAGGCCAGCGACTCCGTCTCCAACTGCGGGCAGTCCGGGAGCCAGAGCATCGGGAGCAACGTCACCCTCATCACCCTGAACTCGGAAGGTGCGTCCCAGAGAGTTTCTTCTTCCCTTGGCTGGAGCCGCGACAGGGACACATATCTTTCCCCTCTTTTTGCTTTTTAGAAACGTGATATATGTTTATTGCCTTTTCAGAAAGCGATACAATATAAAACCAATGAAAAAAGGGAAAGTAACTTGTAATTCCACTGTTCAGAGATCTCTAAACCTTCTGGCCTTTTTCTCCACGCCCCTTACAATTTTAGAACTGACTTGTTCGCTCACGCAGCGGAAATCTCTCCGTGTTACTGCAGATTTGCATAGTTGTTTTTGATCTGCGTCACTTACTTAATCACTTCCGGCTGCTTTCCTAGGACGGACAGTTGTAACCTCTCATCATTTGACCCTGTGGTCGACTGTCTTTGATACTCAATCTTTTTGCATCTGTCTGATTGGTGTCTAGACCAAGCTGCCGGCCGGCCCACCGGGTTAAAGAACAGTTTAAGTCGGGTCCGTGACCGACCGGGAAGGAAGGGAGTGGGCGTCAGCCTGTAGGTGAAGCTCTTTGTCCCACCTGACCCCAGCGGGGGTTTCCTGGAGTCCCCAGGCAGGGAAGACTCTTCCTTTCTCCCGCAGGGTCCAAAGTGCTGTGTCTCCTGGCGCTTGCCCATGGTCGGCCCACACGCAGGAGCCTCTGCGTGTCCCTCAGGACTAACTTATGCCTGTCACTGAGAGTGACTTTGTTACTGCAGTTACGACAGTGTGGAGAGAGAAAGGAGAGACTCAGATGGGTTTAGCTTTGTGTCACGGAGTTCCAAAGCCTGGGTTTCATTTACTAGTGAGAACTCAAGGTTTTTCTGCTTCTACATCCGAGCTGTTGATTTTTCCTAAAAAACTCGACGTAGATTTTTCTACGGAACAAAGGTTTTGCTGTTAGACTCACTGCCATATCTGAAACATTGAAAACCATGTTCTTCTCAAAAACTGCTTTCACCCCAATACAAATTGCTAGGCTCGAGGTGGTGGGATAGGGGAGAGAGAGAGAAAGAGGGGAGACTTTAAACGTTGATATCTAATTTATATGCCATAACACCGACCATTTTAAAGCGTGCATTTCAGTGGTTTTTAGTACGTTCACGAGGTTGTGCACTTATCACCTCTTTGTGTAATTCTAAAACACAAACAGAAACCCCATCCCCATTAGCAGTCACCCCTCCATCCTCCTCCCATGCCCCCCAGCCCCTGACACCCACTGACCTGCTTTCTGTCCCTGCAGATTTTCCTCCTGGGGACATTTCATAGCGATGGAATCCAGTGACGTCATATATATCGTAGCGTGTATTAGAGCTTCCTTCCTTCTGTGGCCAAATAATCTTCCACTGTGCAGGTGGACCACATTTTGTTTATCCTCTCATCAGTTGATGGGCATTTGGATGGTTTCCACTTTTGGGATGTTGTAAATTATGCTGCTGTGAACGTTCGTGTGTAGGTTTTTGTATACATGTGAATTGCAAGGTCGAGGCAACTGGTTTTTTTACACATTAAATTTGAGGAAAAGAGAGATGCTACCGATGTCATTTGCATGGAAATTGAATGAAAATCACGTCGTAAAATTGCGGACAAGACTAATTGTTCTTACTCTTTTTCTATGTGGATTTTGTATAAATACCCATGTAGGTCTGGCTACCCATTTTAGGCCCAATGTTTGGTTTAAACTGTCAGTTCGGGCCAAGCCCAGTGGCTCACGCCTGTAATCCCAGCACTCTGGGAGGCCGAGGTGGGAGAATCGCTGGAGCTCAGGAGTTCGAGACAAGCCTGAGCAAGAGCGAGACGCCGTCTCTACCCAAAATAGAAAAATTAGCCAGGCATGATGGCGTACACCTGTAGTCCCAGTTGCCTGGGAGGCTGAGGCAGGAGGATTGTTTGAGCCCAGGAGTTTGAGGTTGCAGTGAGCTATGATGACACCACTACACTCCACCCAGAGTAACAGAGTGAGACCCATCTCTAAAAAATAAATTAATTAATTAAAAAAAAATCCTGTGTCAGCTAAAGAACAAAAAACTTGATAATTTTGGGGAGTCTGGGGTTATCATAAAGTCCAAAAATATAAAATTTAAAAATTAAGATTTTTGATTTCATTTTTTAAAATTAAGTTTTTAAGCCTTAAAAATTTTAAACGTTTTAAAATTTATGTTTCTTAATGTGATATGATTAATGTGAAATATACTTCAGTTGAGAGAAACAGCAGACTGACCCCAAAATGAATTTACTAAAAGGAATCAGATTTGAAAATTACTTAGTATTAATATTTACAAGGAAAAATACAAATTTTCTTTGTATATGTGTTTAAGCTCCTTAAATATGAGACGATACACTCTGTGTAAGACATCTTTCTTTTTTTTTTGAGACAGAGTCTCACTGTGTTGCCCGGGCTAGAGTGCCGTGGCACCATCCTAGCTCACAGCAACCTCAAACTCCTGGGCTCAAGTGATCCTTCTGCCTCAGCCTCCCGAGTAGCTGGGACTACAGGCATGCGCCACCATGCCCGGCTAATTTTTTCTGTATATTTTTAGTTGTCCAATTAATTTCTTTCTATTTTTAGTAGAGACAGGGTCTCGCTCTTCGAACTCCTGAGCTCAAACAATCCGCCCACCTCGGCCTCCCATAGAGCTAGGATTACAAGCGTGAGCCACCGCGCCCGGCAAGACATCTTTCTTAGCAAAGGTTTTGAGCAAAGTTCTATAACCACTTTTAAAACTGACTGTTTCCACCAAATGTGACTTTGACATACAATACAGGTTGTTAGGATTGGGGCAAATTGGAGAAATTTTTCCACAATTAAATTTTACTGTGTCTTGAAGAAGAGGTTATAATTCCATTCCATTAGGAAAAAACATTTTTATCGTAAATCCCTCCCACCGACTCTGCCCTTGGGAACGAATACCCCAGCAGAGCATCCGTGTTAGGGAAGTCTCCGTCTGGGCCGCCTTATTTGACACAGTGGTTGGGGGAAGATTAGCCGGAGACAAATGAAGTCGTCTTTAAGTGGTTGGTCTGCGTATAAACGTTGGCAAAATAGCCGATCCATTAACGTGTCTTGTATCAGATTTACTGCAGACCTGTAGTGGCGTCGCACGGTAAGCGTTCCCGTGAGATTTATGAGCGCGCTGAGAGCGGGATGAGCCGCTTCCCGCCCGTGTCCTCCCTCCAACCCGGAACAGCGCGCTCGCTGGGGAGAAGTTCGGGTCAGCACGTTCGCATCAGAGGAGGCCTTGCTAACGGGGGATGTGCTGACGGGGGACGTGCTGACGGTGACGGGCTTGTCTGTATTTGGCCGTCTTGGTCCCGGTAAGAGCCAGGAGCTGCAAGTGGACAGATTGCTCTTGTCTTCTACGAGCATTTCAGTGCCTGAAGTTTTAGAGAATCACAGATTTCAAAGTGGTTATTTCTCAAGTATTCCAAATGGCCTGTTTGAATCGGCGTGCTGTTTTATGTCAAATTCGGAATCAATTTATCATCCGGCAAAGGTGCCGTATCGTTTTATCCTAGTTTCTTACTTAGATAATTCCCTCTGTCTTAACATAAGCTCCATCGGCTAGGAAGGGAGAGGACTCTCGACGGTCCAGAGCAGGGAACGGTAAACTTAGAGCCCGTGTCTGTCTGTCTGTCCGTGGTGGGGCGTCCGTGTGCGCGTGTCTTGTTATGTGCCGGGAGCGTGTGGGGCCTCTTCACTCCTGGAGTAGCTGAGTTAGAGAAATGAATTAGCTGAAGGGGCCTAGCTGGGATCCCTAGTGAGTGAAGGGATTTGGTTAAGATGCTTAATAAAGGGTTTGGATTCCTGCTGTGTATACATCTGATAATTCTCACAAAACTCAACAAATTGTACTTCAGCGGGGAGGACTGTACTTCAGTTGTGATTGAATTATTGTCAGGAACTGGTCTCGTGGATGTTCCAGAGCCCAGTTAATGGGGTGGCCTCTATGGTGAGGCCGCCTAGAGGGGCGGGTCATCCGTGAGCTCGTCGGCGTGGAGCGCGTCGTGGCCTGCGCCGCGAAGGCGGATTGGGAAAAATTGCTGCGTACACGACGTCAGCCACATGTGTAAAGAAGAAGACTTAGCCAACAATAGTCCTTGAAAACGCATTTACGCAGTTTATTTTACATGAGTGTTTCTGACATGGGCGCTGTGTGTGGTGACATTGGAACACGCTGTCACGCAGTCGTACTCGGCTGCAGTGAAGAGCGGGACTGCGGATAGGTCAGTGGGGACAGACCGGCGTGAGAGCAGGCATGGGCCCCAGAGGAAAGTGGGTCTCAGGAGGCGCAGCCTGTGCCCAGCGGGCACGCTCCTCGGGCCAGAGGATGGCGGTCCTGGGACACTCACTGCGGGCACAGTCGCGCCCACAGCGACCCTGACGCTGAGCGGTTGGGGTTCACCCGGGCCGTCCGCAGAAAGGTGCCCTTTGAGAGGAGACCCTCGGAGAGCAGGCTCCTGGGGTGCAGAGCCAAGTGCCACGCTGGTCTGTGCCTCTCCAGCTGCACACAGGTGTCTGTCCCCAGCTCCTCCCACCCTCACCTGGTGACGGTGCTGCTCGGGAAGGAGGCTGGTGGACTCTCTCCCTCCCCAGACGGGGCTGAGACGAGGGCCTGTGCCTGCAACTCCCGCAAGCGGGTGCTGAGTTGGTAACGTTTGGTGGTGTTTCTGGCACGCTGGGCAAACCTGCTGTGTTTTCATCCTGTGTGATTTACAGCAGGGCCTGTTTTTCCACGGGGTGCGGTCCTGGTGCCTCTGTTCGCGCTTCCGAGATCTTGCACAGGAATATCGCAGAGACGGGAGCCATCGTGCTTCTGATGAGATCCCGACGCGGAGACACCTGAACGCAGGAGAGTTGTGCGTGTGGTCTGAGCCCCGCCCACCTGCCTCCCTGCGCGCAGGGCGTGAGTTCCGGCTCGTGGTACAGTTGGGTTGTCGTTTGACAACATCCTTCTGCTCACACTGTTGTCAGATGCCACGGCGCTCAAGTGACCTCTGTCCACTCTGCGCACACTGCTCTTGGATCCCAGGGCGCCGCAGGAGCTGGCGGAGAGTGTGGGCAGATGGCTGGAGTGACCGCATGGCCCAGAATCGCAGGATCTCTTTTCACTGATGGTTAAATAGTTGTCTCACTTTAAAAAATGTTTGAATGTTACAGATAAAATCTTTATAATAGAATTGTCGACCTAAAATAGCCCACTCAAAACCCCAAAGTCAAACACAACAGAAAGTGGTACACTGTACCATTTCTACCTAGAAAATTCTGGAAGGCGTGGGGGCATTTATGTGGGCAGGTGCTCTTGCCTTGTTTTCCGTGTAAGAGACATGATTCGTTGTCATCGAGAAGTGGGGTTCAGGCAGGGTCAGGCCCCCAGGGTCAGCAGTGAGTTAAGGCTGAGAGTCTGGGGCCGGGGGCGGGACGTCCACTCTGAGAGCTGGGTGGGGCCGGACGGGGTCTGGGTTCCTGGGGTTCCTCTCTCCTTTCCCGGGAGCTTGGGGCTGCTGCTCCTGCCCGTCTCTCAGGGGGCGATGATGGGTGGTTTTCTGACCCCATGGCAGTGACTGTTTCAGCTCTGTGCTGGTCAGAGCTGCTACCGCCCGTGTCTTTTGTCCACCTGGCTCGGACGGCTCACACGAGTCACTGACACAGGGCACGTATGTGACGCGGGAATGTGATGACGTAAACTCACGGCAGAGGTCTAGACAACGTACAAAATAACGTAGGTCTGAATCGCTTTTTAATATGCTCTTGGGAAGTCAGCACCCAAAGGACATCAGAGGAGAGAATTCTTAAAAAGTTTGTATTTAAACTTTCAGTTAATTCCTTCCAATAGACTCCTTCTTAAAAAATATATAAACTTATATAACTATCCTCTGTGGTCTGACAGTGCACATTCCGCTGGGGTTTTTAATTACTCTTTTTTTTTCCTTCCTTTTCTCTTTTCCTCATGGAGAATTTTGTGTACACAGGAAGTTGAGTAATCCCGCAGGTCATATCAGGAGCACACGTGCGAGATCGCCTCTGTCTCAGTACAGAGAAGGCGTCATTCAGCACCTGGAAGTGCTTGCGGGTCAGCAGCTTTTTAGGCAGAGACCCTGGAAATGCCCAAAATCGCCGGTTTTGAGTGGGCAGGAAGTTGTCACGGTCTAGAGCACTTGCTTCTGGTTCGGGCTCTGCCTCTTCCTTGCCCCGCGGCCTTGCTTAGATCCCCACACTTCCACGGGCACGCGCCGGGGGAGGGGACGCAGCTTCACTTGGTTCCACTTTGGGGTCAGACGCTGCAGTTTCCAAGCAGGAGCGCGAGTTCTCTTGGCGTGTGATCACATACGGAGTTTCTTCTGCCCCCCAGGGAGGCTGTCTGAAGGCGTTTGACAGGTCACCAAGCCTTTCAGTACCTCATGTGGTCAGTCTTAGGGGCCCAGAGAGGCCGTTAGGCAGAGGAGTCGTCGTGGTTGGCAGAAGCCCGACCACTCAGTCTAGCTTGGAAGCCGAGAGCCAGTGCCCGCTCGGGGCGCCCTCCCTTGGTCCCAGATGGAGCTGGAGGGGTGTGGTGGGCTCTCGGGCACTGCCAGGCGGGCAGCGGGAGGTCCCACCCCTGTTTCGGGGTCTCTCTTCCAGGCTAGCTCTGTCTCCTCTGGGCGCCAGCCCTCTCTCCTCCGGCCTGGGCACTGGTGCGTCCCACACTCGAACGCCGAGCCCTGAGCCTTGTGTTTTAATTGCCCCCGAGAAAGCCAGAGTCTGGGGCCGCCGTCTTACGGGGAGCAGCCAGCAGGTGGAGGTCAGACTCGGCGCCTGGGCACAGTGTGAGGAGAGCTGGAAGGAAGTCAGTTCTGAGGGTAGCGGCGGCATGTCCAGCGCTGTAGGAGGACAGCAGGTCTGCGGGAGTCAGAGGGCGGGGCAGGTGGAGCGTGTGGCCTTATTGGCCCCTCCCGCATGTCCCCCGCCTCTGCCCGACCTTCCCCTGACCCAGGACTCGGCATCCTCCTCCTGTTACTAGCAACCTTCAGGATGTAAAACGATATAAAAGCACAAGAGGTGCGTGTGGCGAGGGAGGAAGTCTGGCCACGAGAGGAGGAGAGGAGGTCAGAGCAGGTGCTTCCTGTGCGGAGACCCCACGTTCGCTGCTAAGCTGTCAGAGGAGGGAAGGGAGAAGCGGGGCCTGCGAGCAGGAAAGAAAAGTCCGCAGCACCGTGGGGGGCAGGACTCCATGGTGAGGAGCGGAGGGGCCCTTGGGGTAAACACGCCCTGCCACGCCAGGCCTGCCCTCCGCTGTGCAGAAGACGACCGCAGGGCATCTTGGTCTCACACGGACTGTGCGGAGCCCCCAGGTGGCCTCGTGTCGGTGTCACAGGGCGGGGCATCATTCTCAGCTGTCCCCGAGACGGGTGTGCCGAGCGGCCCCCTTCTGTGACTCCCACCCAGATGTGGGCAAAGCTCGAAACAAACAGAGTTCTTGACGTTTTTCTTTTTAAAGCTCTTTACCCTGCTGGGGCTGTAAAGAGAATCTGGTGTCTGAGACGAGAGCATTTGGTGTCGCCTCTTCCAGACTTGAGCATGAACTTGGGGGTCCCCGCTGGGGTCTTGGGGGCCTCCCCTACACGGAGGCTCCCACTGCTGGGCACGCACGGCGGCCACACCCAGTCAGCCTCAGAGCCGCGGGAGGCCCTGGGTGGGCTCTGTGTCCCTCACGGGTCACTGAGCTGACCAGGTGCATCTGGCTCCCGAGACGGGGCCCAAGTGCAGAGCAAAGAGTGTTTACACAGCGTGATCTGCCACGCTCATCTTCCTGAAACGAAGAAACCTAGGCGCCTTTGGGGAGCGACAGAATGGTGTCTGCTCTGCGTCAGTTCAGCCCCGCGGCGCTTTCTTGTGTAACGGTAGGAGCTGCCCCAGTTCGCTCGGCAGCCGCCCTGGAAGTCGGAGCGTGATTTGCCAGGTAGCCGCGTGGAGCGTCTGTCTCGGCGCGTTTGAGCTGAGCGCTCCGGCATCCTGACCGCGTGGGGCGTGCGGCGCGTGCCCCGAGCCGTGGCCGCCTGCGGACTGTCTCTCTCTCTTCCAGAGGACTACCCCAACGGGACCTGGCTGGGCGACGAGAACAACCCCGAGATGCGGGTGCGCTGCGCCATCATCCCCTCCGACATGCTGCACATCAGCACCAACTGCCGCACGGCCGAGAAGATGGCCCTGACGCTGCTGGACTACCTCTTCCACCGCGAGGTGCAGGCCGTGTCCAACCTCTCGGGCCAGGGCAAGCACGGCAAGAAGCAGCTGGACCCGCTCACCATCTACGGCATCCGCTGTAAGTGTGGCCGCGTCCCACTCGCGGGCTGGGGCGGGCGGGGGGGGGCGGCTGCTGGCGGGCGAGTGGTGAGCCCAGTTGGGACCTGTCTTCAGTGCAGGGAGGACGCTGGCGTCAGTGGTCGTGACAGACACGGGCACTGGGGTTCTGAGTTGAGCACCCCGTAGTGGCTGTTGTCTGGCACCCTGCAGAGGGGAAAGAATGTGGGACGTGTTTCTCCAGGGACCTTAAAAACCAGGCCTCGTGTCCTTCGGTGGCTTCGAGGAAGAGGAGTGTGGGGTCTCCCCTGCCTGCTTCCCGGTGCCGCGAGAGAAGGCCACCGGCCTCCGTCCTGTAGGGAGGCTCGGCCTTGGCAGCCGTGCCGTTGTCATGGAAGCCAGGAGGTCTCCTAAGAAGTTCTGGTATCCAGCATGGCCTGTGAAGTGTCCTCCTCTTTGAGGAGCGGCACCTGGTCATCGCGGTGTGGTCCTTCTGATGGCACTCAGAGAGGACGAGACACGTTCAGGTGCTTCTCAGCACCCTCTGCCCCGACACTCGCACGCTGGTTCATCCGTTCCGCGGGGTCCGCCGCGTTCCGGAAGCCCTTCGCTGTGGTTTCTTACAGGACGTGAGGTAGAGGGAGCGCACACGGGGGACCAGAGCCCCAGCGCAGGGCCCGGGTAGCTGCGCCGGGAAGCCCAGCTCTGCAGAGGTGCGCAGTGCGTGTGAAATTTAACCTAACTTGGCAAGAAGGAGAGCAAGGCAAGGTCCTTGGCGTTCGTGCCCTCTCAGCAGAGAGGACCTGCCTCCCTCGGGACAGAGCCTGGCTCTGCCGGTGAAGTTCCCTAACACTGACCCGCGAACCTTTCTGTGCAGAGCAGTGACAGACGTCGGGGCTAACTTTGTCAGCAGCTGTTACAGAAATGGTGGGAATGCTTTTCATGTGGCTGCTCAGACTGACCTGATTACGACCGAGGTGTCCTGCTCACTGCAGAATTCCACGAAGTCACTGTGAAGTGGAGCCTGGGTCCCTGCTCACACGTGTGCGTGGGGGGGTGGCCTGGCCCAGGCTTTGTGTCACTCTTGTCTGACTCCGGTGGGCGCCTGTCGTGGGCCCTGGAGTCATCTCAGATAAGCTACTGGAGGGCCACCCGGGTGGGCAGTGGACACTGGTCTCTCAGATGGGGAATGAAGCGGTTCACGGACGAACAGTGTCGCACGGGAGGTTCAGAGCAGGCCCAGCCTCTTCCTTAAGGCCACAGAGTAGGTATTCCAGGCTCTGTGGGCCACCCTACTCCACTCTGACGCAGCCACAGACGGCTGTGGACCAACAGTGTGGCTGCGTGCCGGCCCTCTGCCACTCCCGCTTTGGGGCCCCTCCGCACGGGTGACCTGGGCGCTGCCCTGGGGGCGGGGCCTGAGAATGGCTCTCGGGGCTCTTTCAACAAAGGGGACTCAGGTGTGGCCCCATGATTTTCCCCACAAAGGAGTTGGTCACCATGCTAGGAGAAGGTGGCTACAGAGGCCGGGCGGCTCTGGCGTCAGGTGCGTGCCGCACGGGTCCAGCCTCACCGGCTCCGCGGGAGCGATTAGATCGCCGCTTCCCTCGGGCAGAGGTCACGGATTCCTGTGTTTTCCAGGCCAGCACTATCAAGTCAAGGCTGTAATTTCAAGAAATAAATTGTTGGCACTCATCTTCTGCTTTGCTTTCTCTTTGAACTTGAGATTACATTAGCAGCGGCGGTGTTTTCATTCCTTCGCGACTGATAAACCTCCCGCCACCCACCGAGGACGCAGCGAGCCCTGCTGGTTGCTTCCCAAGAGCTGCGTCCTCTGTGAGTTTCGTCACTTGAGAAGCAGGATCTGGCTTTGTGATCTGAACCGCAGTGTCCGTCACGGGAGCTCCGGAAAGCGGAAGGCAGTTCACAGGGACGGGGCCACCGCCTGGTGCCCACCAGCAACGGAGGGGAGTGCGGGCGGTCGGGCTGCTGCCCTGGGGAGGTGAGGGACCGGCTGCTGAAGGCCTGGGGTGAGGTGGGGCCCAGGTGGGACGGCTGCCACGGCTCTGCAGGCACGTGTCCCTCAGCCACCAGGCCCGGGGGCTTCTGTCCCCTCTATCCTGGGAACTGCTGCCGGTGCCATTCTCACCCGAAGCTGCCACACGTCTCCCGGCCAGAGCAGCCAGCGTGCTTGGGCTGCCGGAAACCAGAGAGCAGGGCACGCGGTGTGTGATCGGGGTGTCCCTGCGTCTGCCCCTTGGGGGTCTTGGGGTGCTGGTGAGGACCACACAGGGTGGCCCCCTCTTCCCCACTCGGTGGGCACCAGGCTGGTTTTCACGCCTAACCGGTAACCTGACATGGGCAAATTACTTCTCCTTTCTCTGGCTTCTGCCTCAAAACTGAAGTGAGGGTAATGACATTCTTGTTTCATGAGTTTTTTTGTTTTTAGCGTATGTCTAGAGATAAAATGCTTCTGCAAGGGTATAGTAGTGGTTGGGTTCAAGGTAGTCTTTCGATCACGTCATTATAATACTTTTCCTACACCATGTGTTAAGCCGAGGCTGTGCCCGGTGCCGGCAGAAAGGTACAGACAGCTTTCTGAAGAGCAGCGGAAGCGGCGGTGGCGGGGGGTGCCTGGTGGCGGCCGGGAGCCTGAGCCCGCGGCAGGTCAGAGCCTCCTGCGGAGCCGCACAGAGGCGGGTGCTGGCCCCCGAGGGGTCTCAGCGAGAATCCTGTGCCGGGTCAGACCCCGTCAGAGCCCAACAGACCTTCCTTCCAAACCACAGCTCCGTGTGGCAGAGACGTTTTTGCTGCTGATTCATCGGTTGGTTTCTCTTGGCAGTCGCCGGGGGCCTTGCCACGGGTCGGAGCCTTGAGTTGCTGTTGGAAGGAATTAGGAGGACTTGTCAGTGGACAGTGTGTGACTATGTGGTTCTGTCTTTAGAGAACAGAAACCAGGTTTTGAACTGGCAAGTTGGTTTTTACAAAGTCGAATTTAAACCTTAATGTTTTCACTCATTTCTTGTATTTATACACCCATGTTATTTATATGTTATATTTATATGTAACATATAAAGCATACATAACATTTAATGTATATTAAAATATATATTTACGTGGTGTATATATACTTGTTAGTGACGGAAAAGAATATATATATTAAAATTTAATATAATTTCGTTAATCCCTAGAAGTTTTTTCCTTGGGTGTGAAGACGCGAGGAGGACAGGAGGAGGGTTTTGGGCGTGTTTCTGGTTGCTGACGAGCGCCACACGGTTTCACACTGCGCGTGATCATGGTTTCCTCTCTTGTCTTGAAGACCACGGTTGTAGGTGGCCCCTTCGTAAGCGCAGCCAGTAGTCGGTTCTCCCGTGACTGTTTACCTGAGTTTTCATAGTTGGGCTCCCTTGTAGCTGTGGTCAGCAGTTGGGTCCTTCTGAAACCACAGTCAGTGGTCGGGTTCGCCAGGAATTATTTGATCGTAATTTTAATACTTGGTTCCTGTTGCGATTGCCGTCTGCATTTGGGTTCTTCTCTCCCTGAAGCTGGTAACGAGCCCAGACTCGGCGAGGCTGTCCCCAGCACGCAGCAATCACTCGGTACGTGTTTATCGAGTGGCGATTCTGTGATGATTTCAGAGCTGCCCTGGAGGAACATGAGAAAGGAGAGTGGCTGCCTCATTCGCGGATGTCCTTTTACGCACGAGGATGGAAAGTGCTGCTGAGGCTACTTTAGGTTGTTGTTCTTTCTGATCCTATGAATCCTACCCCTCCTTAACTTGGTTTTTTTTTTTATCTAGAGTAGGAAACTTTGGCTGTCGCTCTATTTAGAGTCAAATATGTCTTAAGCTTGTATTTGTAGACAAAGTCAAGAAGTGTCTTTCCAGAATCCAAGATACTTTCGATACTTAATATGGTACTTAAAACAAACACTTCCTCTGTTTTGATTATTTCTAGTATTTTGGTCTCAGTAAAGACAGATTTTTAGGGCTTGGGCAGTAATTTAACTCTCAGTCAATGGTCCAGACTCCGTGTTCTCAGTAGTCAAAACAGGACGTTTTTCAGCTTGATCTTTTTGTTGTTACAGTTTTGAATTCCATCCATTTATTTTCCTGCTAATCAGCTCTCGAGGTCACCGTGTTGAAGAGAATATCCTAGGATTCCCTAGGATATTGTCATCGTTAATTCCTGTTGCCATTTGGTGCAAAGAAGGGGTCGCGTGGTCTGGCGAGACGTGGGCTGGGCCCGCAGCAGGGAGCTGCCGCATCCTGCCCTCGGTTTCCTCCTTGTCGGGTGAGAGGGCTCTGGGTGCTGTTCAGCGGTGTTCAAGAGCTCTCGCGAATGAGTGACGGGGAACAGGGTACCAGGGAGGTGCTCTCCCGTGTGCAGGGTGAGCCCTGGGGGAGCACGGGACCACGTGCCTTCGGTGGCACCACAGGGGAGTGTGGGCAGTGCCCTGCAGCCAGGTTGGGGGGGTCCAGGGATAAGCACAGTGGCGGGGCACGCAGGCCCTGCCCGCGTGGAGAGTGGGCTACCTGAGCAGGCACGAGAGAGGCCTCGGCAAGTCACACACGCGCCCACCAGACGTAGGTAGCAACCGAGGGATGTCTTACAGCCAGTTGTAATCATTTTTTATCCAGTAAGTGTTTAAGCATTTACTGTTTATCCAATAAATATTTAAGCCTTTCCTATGTGCCGAGACATGCGGGTGCTTGACACGCATAGGTGAACAACACGGAGACCCCGTGTCTGTGAGGGAGGCAAAGAGTAAACACAGATTCGTAAGTGGATGAATTCTCCCGTGTCGGAAAGTGATCAGTGCTCTGAATAAACGGCCAGTCCCAGGCGTGGGAGGACGGGGTGCGGGGGACACGGCTGGGCATGAGGGTGGGTTATGGAGGTGACGTTCCGGCCGAGACCTGAAGGCAGGGAGGGAGGTCGCCAAGCAGATGTGAGTGAGCACGAAGGGTAACGAGCTGGAGTTTCAGAAAACCAGTTTTCCCTGAATTGCTGAGACCCTCGATTTTGCTCTTTGGACGTTAAGTGCTGTCTGTGAACTCGGGGCCGGGGGAGAGGCCGGGGACTCGTGAGAGCGCTCAGCGACCCGCTCTGCACGTCCAGGTTATTTAACAGTTAGGTAAACTAGAAGAACGTGTGACTGTATTTTAGTACGTATTCGTACTTGGGAGATCGTTTATTGACTGGCTAACTGCGTCTCTGTGATGTGTGATCTTCTGTCCTTGCACGGAGCAGGGCTCAGGCCCCGCAGGTGCGTCTGGGGGTGCGGCGGCTGCTCCCAACCAGCCGGTCCCTAGAGGAAGGCCTTCGTCTCACAGCTCTTATTTGCGATGTGTTCTCGTAGGCCACCTTTTCTATAAATTTGGGATCACGGAATCTGACTGGTATCGGATCAAGCAGAGCATCGACTCCAAGTGTCGGACGGCGTGGCGGCGGAAACAGCGGGGCCAGAGCCTGGCGGTCAAGAGCTTCTCGCGGAGAACGCCATCCTCATCCTCCTACAGTGCCTCAGGTACACCTTATGCTTTGCGGGAGCCGCACTCTCTCTGCTTTGCGGGAGCCGCACTCTCTCCTCCAGCTCGAGCGCATTCCGCGTGGCCGAGCTCCCAGGGGCACAGTCCCGAGCGAGGCCGGCGCGCGTTGCACAATCTGCGGCAGCCGCTCGGGACGGGAAGCCTCCACGCTGTGCGCTCACCTCCCAGGCAGAAAACCTCAGCCAGACCCACTCGAGGCTCCGCCTTGCGGGACAGAGGACCTGCTGGGCCACCCTGGAGGTTTTCTAGGTAGTGGGTGCGGAGGCCTTTGCCCGCTGATGTCGGTCTGAGGCAGAGAGAGGGGCTGGGTCAGGACCTGGACAGGTGCGCCTAAAGCCTGCTCACCTCCTCCCTCCGCGGTCTGCTTGGCTCGTAGCATAACGGCAGTAACAGTAAGGTTATTGTGTTACTGTTACTTGCATGGTGACTGCAGATGAAGGGTTGGGTGGATTCCAAATTTTTATACTCTTTATTCTTATTTTGAATTTTTGGCCTCAGCTAGACTTATCCACAAGATAATGGGAAAAAAATTCCTCTTAGAGGCATTGCTGGAAGGATTGTTTTTTCCTTGGGAAAATTTTTGCTAGGAATGACAATGTGATTTTAAATTGCCCTTCACCCAAGACATCCCAAAATATTTGAATAAATATTTGAATTAAAACAATTCTTTTTAAACTCCCACAGTAGCTTCCTTGGCAGTGGCTCCTGGAACTCGAGCTCTGGCTCGGACGTGGGTCAGGACCTGGGGCAGCTGTGGGCAGGGCCAGCTCTTCTGAGTGGGGTCTTTGTGGGCCAAACTCTTTGTTCTGGAAACATTGCAAGCTACAAACCAGGTCTCCTGGAGAGCTCAGAGTCCTTCCGAGCATCCTGCAGGAAGTGGCTCGGCAGTTGTTTTGGTAGTTATCAGATACTTGGCCGTGGCCGTTGCCAAGGGTTCCTGAAGATGGGCTGTAGCAGGCCACCCACGTCGTGCCCCGACAGCAGTGCTCTTCTGAGCGGCATGTATCGAAGAAGCTCTTAGTGGGGAATCCAGGCCTTTCTATTGCGAGTAGGGATGCTATCTCGGGAATTTAGAGAGGTGGCAGTCCTGCGCGTGGGTCAAACGCATTTGCTGAAATACCGTGTGGCACAGTGGCCTGTGGCTACGGAAATGGAGTTACAGAAGTGGAATCCGTGAGCTGAGATACGCTGCTGAATGTCATTAACCGGGAGTAGGAACACACACATGAAAACTACAGTTATGGTGTGATCCCATTTCTATCATTTCTATTAAAAACGTAGAGCTACATGCGGACCGTGATTAAAGATCTGTGTGTGGTAATTTTAGCAGTGGCTATCTCTGGGTGGTGGGATTATCATTTGCATTTTTCTCTTTGTATCGTACTATAGTTCCCCAATTATTTCCAGTAAACACTGCATTAGTTTTATAGTTTTAAATAAAATGCTGTTTAAAATTCATGGGGAGGGGATTTCTGTTTTCAGTCGTGACCTTGTCACAGGAACCAGATGCAATCGGGACGAAAACCTGTGAACAGCTGTTCTAAGACGTTGGGCACCAACCTGCACGGGACCGTGACCCCCCAAGGAGGTGACCCTGCTGTCACCCTGGCTTTCTTTCAGGAGGCACAGTTTGGACCTCGGGGCAGTGAAGGAGGTTCCACGCATGGCGCAGCTGTGCCACCGGGTTGAGGGCACAGGTTGGAGTTCAGAGAGGCTGAGGCAGCTGACAGTTGTGGCATCGAGTTCTTGAGAGAGTTCACAAAAGTGAGCTCCAGGCCAGGGGCGGTGGCTCACGCCTGTAATCCTAGCTCTCTGGGAGGCCGAGGCGGGCGGATTGTTTGAGCTCAGGAGTTCGAAACCAGCCTGAGCAAGAGCGAGACCCCGTCTCTACTAAAAATAGAAAGAAATTAATTGGACAACTAAAAATATATAGAAAAAATTAGCCGGGCATGGTGGCGCATGCCTGTAGTCCCAGCTACTCGGGAGGCTGAGGCAGGAGGATCGCTTGAGCCCAGGAGTTGGAGGTTGCTGTGAGCTAGGATGACGCCACAGCACTCTAGCCCAGGCAACACAGTGAGACTCTGTCTCCAAAAAAAAAAAAAAAAGTGAGCTCCAGAGTCCGCATGGGGCTCCCTGGAGCGTTTGCCGGATCTGAAGACAGGCGTGCCCCAAGCACAGGGTGGCGGGTGTCTGAGCCTAATGCTCCTGGGCTCGCTCTGGGCTGAGGGGTGTTCAGGTTCCCACCAGCTGGAGGGTTCAGGTCCTCCGTGGTCAGCGAAGGCTTCCCCGAGAGGCGCCAGAAGGCAGAGCCTACTAGCGGGGCTGAACTGCCCCCAGAGTAAAGGCAGAGTTTAACAGCAGCCTTGGAAAGATCACACCGAATCACAAGTAACAGCACTTTTAAAACGAAAGACGACAAAATCTAGACACCCGAAAAAGCAAAATCCACAATGTCCAGTGTCCAATCAGCAATACCAAGAAGCAGGAAAGTGACCCAAGACCAGAAAAACCCGTTGATGGAAAGAGACCTAGTCTGGAGTTTAAAGACCGGGACACAAAAACCTCTATTAATACACTCAAGGATTTAAAGGGAAAAAGGGACATTGCGAGGAGAGAGAGAGAAGATCTAGAAGAACCCCATGGGAATTCCAGACGTGAAAAACGAGGGGGTGGTTGTCAAGCTGTGTCCATTTGGTCAGATTAGTGGTTTATTTCATCCAGCGGGGAATCGAAACCCAAGTTACATCTCTCGCCGGGGCCCTTCATGAGCAAGCAGCTCTCACTACATGGCCTGACACAACCGCTGCACGGGTTGGTCTACGTTATCAGGGTACTAAAAGATCTTGAAGGGGCAAATGTAATGAGATGAAATTTCACAGCTGGAAATGTAGCCGCAGAGCATTTGCAGGTGGCAGCGTGGGAAGCAGAGCGGTTGGTCAGCTACGTTCGTGCGACGTGGCCTCCTCAGGGTCAGGTGGCTGCAGGTGCTTTACTCGCGGAGGAGCTCTGTGCACGGTGAGATCCTGCCCGGCTCTGAGCTCGTGCGACCCGTGGTCACAATGGTAACGTTTGGAGCCACTTAAGGAACTGTTCAGAGACAGGCTTTCAAGGGGGTAGTGGGATCTGAAATCAGTGCCTTTGGGGGAAGGGTTAGAGGAAGTGGCTGCAAATTCAGATCTCACAAGGTCTGATCACCAGGGCCATGAAATGCCTGAGGAGGTGGCACATCAGTGGAGAACGGCAGTGGCTTCGTGGGTCCTACGGGGGTGGGCGCAGGAACGGCAGGTTCTGGAAGGTAAATTGCAGCCCATCTGGGATGTTGTCGTTTTCCTCCTGGGTCCCCGTGGCCTAGCCCAGGGCTAGACGCAGGGTCAGCCCTCCACGTGTTTTTGGAATGCGTGGCACTTTCCGTCCGTGGCTGGTTGCTTTGCCATGTGGTGCCTCCTGTCTCTGGCGGGGCTCAGGCGGAGTCGGGCTCCTGGGTAAGAGGGCGCGGAGGAGAGCCCTCACCTCCAGCACGCAGGTGGACCCCCGTGCAGTCAGGTCACATTCAGATTCCGTTTAGTGCATGTGCAGAGTCTCCCGAGATTCCACGTTTCTAAAAGCACCTGTGCAATGCTGACACTGCCACCCAAGACGGCGTTTGGGGGGTGGCCATGTTAAGTGAGCGTGGTAAGTCACGGCGGTGCCTGGCTGGCCGGGGTCTGCGTCCGACTGCGCGGCTGGAGATTCGGGTGCTCTGCCTCCAGCGCAGGTCGTCTCACCTCCGTTTTACCGCAGCTTGTGGTTTTATCGTTTATTTGTACATTTATTTACTTAGGGCTTGTTTCTCTTCCAGTTTTGAGTGTTTCTTTCAGAGGAATAACAGTAATTCAGTTGGACAGTCGTTGTGTTTCTTTACTTTGTTTCTTTGTTTATAAACATGTCAGGGCTCTTCTGCGATGCAGTGGGTTTGTGTGACCCCGTGGGTTGTGCGCAGCCACCGCGTGTGCGCTGGGGCAGGTCCCTGCGTGGAGCGTCCAGGGACCCCGAGGCTCAGCTGGCTCCCCTGAGCTGGCTCCGGCGAGCGAGTCCGGCAGGACCTTTCATCGCTTGAAGATCGGGCTGTTCCTCAGTAGCGTGTCCTGCTCACGCCTGCATCCCGTGTGCGCAGCTGCGCCCCGCTCTCTGCAGAGGGACGCTGTGCCCGGTGCCGGAGGCGGAGTGGACACACAGGCGTGGCTGGGAACGAGAGTCACGTTTAAAGTGAGCCTCTCAAAAACCCTGTGAGGGCGATTGGCGCAACTGTACTCCTGCGGCTTTGGGTGTTTATTTGTCTAGGAAGAAGCAAGAATGAGTTCCTGAGCTGTTATGTCCAGTTTCGCGCTACTGCTGGGAAACTCAGACAAGCGCCGCTTTCCCGCGGAGTTTGCTGGCAGCCAGAAGCTCACCCACGGCTGCCGTCTACATAGCGCCGGCGTGGAATACACTTTAAGGGAAGGATAGAGCATGTTCTTTTAAAAGTGCCCCATATTGTAAACCTCAGTTGATTTACAAGTCCTCTGTTTTAATGTACTTCACACTTGGCCAAAGTTAGATGAAGCAGAGTAGATAGTTAGGGTAAAGGACTTTGGAATCTTTGTTCTTTTTGCAACTGCTCTTGGCCTGACAAAGCTGATCTGATATTTAAGGTGGTCAGTGACAGAAATGTTCCAGCAAAATGTAATTAAGCCAGACTCGTATTAATTTGGAATTGGTAGTAATTCTAGCTGGGGTTGTCTCGTTTACTTTTCAATTACAGCAGACAGAAAAGCAACTTCCAAATAAATACTGGGGATGGGATTCCGAGCCAAGGCCAGTCTGTTCAGTTAAATTAGTGCGGCCAATTCGAACACAAGCCATAAAAGCAGGAGTTCCAAGGGGTTTTAAAAGTCAAGTTATGAAATCATCTGTATTGTACCCTCCTATCTGGCAACACCGTGTGAAATTTTATACGTGCTCGAGTTTAAGATGGCTGGATGGCTGGATTTTATTGTTTAAAATATAATTCAGCCTTTTTTCCCCACGCCTCTCATGGGCGAGCCGAAACCCTTAGGTGGGATTAGACAGTGGCCAGTGCTTTAGGGTTGCAGAGAAGCAGCTCTTGGAAACCGCGGCCGGCACATCTGTGTGTGCAGCTTCTTCACGTCTGCCGGTGCGTTCCTGGGGCGCTGGGAGAGCCAGGCCAGGTGAGGGGAGCAGCCCTGCCACGGCTGTGCCGTGTCTCTGCTTTTCTGCCTTATAGTGGACGGGACGGTCTGGCGCCTTCTTGAGTTCCCCCTGGACTTACGTCAGCAGGGGGCACCCTCATCTCCCGTGGCTTGCCGTGGCTCTTGGACTATTCTTGATCATGGACAAGCAACCTGTGCAGTTTTTTTGCACTAGACTTTAATATCAGTGTAAATTATAAAATATGGACTTAAAGTAGTCTTCACATTGCACAGTTGTAGTGAGCTATTGAATAAATGGTAATTTTGATAATCTGAATCTTAGATTTGAAAACCATTTATATCACACCTACAAATCGTGTCTTCTATGATTTTTAGAACCCTGGGGACTGCCATTCTTCTTGGTTGTATTTTTGAATGAGTGAGAACTGTCAAAATCAGTTGATTTTTTTTTTTTTTTTCCTGAGACAGAGTCTCTGTTGCCTGGGCTAGAGTGCCGTGGC